TTACAGGGACATTATGAACAAATCAGATGTAACGCTTGGTCCTGGATTGGACACTAGCTGACAAACAATTATAAAGGACATTCTTGGGTCAGCTGGGAAAATTGGCCTGGATACTATGTGAGATAAAAATTTACTGAAAAGGATCATCAACTTTTAAAAGGTTACGAACAGTATATACTACTACATGTCTCATATGGATACACACATGTATGCATGCCCATGTTCACACAGAAAATAAGACATGGACCAAGGTGCAAAAAGTAGTGTATGGTGGGAATGTGATGCTTTTCTTTTTGCTAATTTGAATTTACTGATTTTCTCTAGTGCATATGTACTGTTTCTATAACAAAAAGTTATTTATGAAATTCCTTATAAAGAAAATAAAAATGCTAGTCTACAACTGCTGACCACAAAAATGACAGGTTCTGGTTTTGCTATATTTTGCTATTTTGTTGTATTTTGCTTCTTATATGACACCCTTGGGGGAACTGGACCAGTAAAAATCAAACTACTTTTGACAACAGGTGTCAATGAAAATGCAGTAAGACCTAAACAGGAGCTTGTTGGTAACAATCGTGAGATCTGACTCAATTCACTGATTTTCCAGGAAGTAGACAAGACATAGTCTAAGAATAACTTTCACTGCACAGATCATGAGAATAGCACCACCAGCAGAGGCTGGGAGAAGATGAAGAGATGGGTGACAAGCGCCATTATTTGTGTCCACTTGAACTAGGTCAGACCTCAAGTGATCCAGGTCTGAGAATTAATGAAAAAGATAACATATTTCATTAAGGCTGTTTTCTACCAAACCAGCAAACAAGAGTACAAAGGATTTATGAAAGCTCAAAAGATAAAGATGAGTGGTCACAAGCTCCCACTGCTCACCCAGTTCCTTTTAGAGGACACCCAAAGTTTACTATGGGTCAACACAGATCATTCAGTTTGAGAAGTCCACCAGGTAAGAGGAGTCCCTAATCATGGGCTCGCTACCTTTTACATTGTCATCTTGGGGGAGAGGGCTGGGAAGCACCTGAGGGTCCACCTTATTACCACGTAAGGAAATTCTTGCTGTGCCTCAGCCACACACATTTACATTCTATGTGTTGTGTTGCCGTTTGGCTTATGCTATGGCCTATCACACTATTACATCCTAATAAATGGTCCTCTGATTGGAAGAAAAGGAGGAAGGAAGGAATTTTGGAACTAGAAACTTCCAGGGCAAGACTTTGTCCAGGGGTATATAACAAAAATAAATGGCAAGTTACTTGTTTTGTGAAGGCTGAGGTTATTATGGCTTTTTAAATTTTTTTTATTTTTTAAAGACATTGACTGGTTGCCTCCTGTATGCGCCCTGACATGAACTGATCAGTATGAACAGATCAATGTCTTTAAAGACCAAAGTCTTTATCTGACATTTCTCATTTATCAAACATTTACAAACAACCATGTGCCAACTGTATTAGGAAGTGAGAACAGAAAGCAAGTAATGTGACTGCTATACTCAACACGTGGTTCAGTTTCTGACACAGACTTAACTCTTTTTCTGAAAAGAGCAACAGAGGGTGTAAAATTCTCTTATGTAAAAAGCTTAACCATTCCAGCCCTGGCCGAGAGGCTCAGCTGGCTGGAGCCTCGCCCTGTGCATCAAAAGGCTGGGGGCTCTATTCCCAGTCAGGGCACATGCCTAGGTTTCGGGTTCCATCTACGGTTGGGGCGTGAATGGGAGGCAGCCTGTCAATGTTTCTCTTTCTCTCTCTCTGTCCCCACTCCCCCCCTTCCTCTCTCTCTAAAAATCAATAAAAACGTATCCCTGGGTGAGGATACAAAAAGCGTGGCCATTTCAGCTCACAATACAGAAGAACGGTAAAGTTTCCCATTTTGTTCCTTGTATTTGCTCAAAGGACATCAGCTAGTTCTATAGATGAACCTCTAGTCACTTCAGAAAACCACTAACAGAAAGAGAAAACTTGTACATTCTTTTAAAAATGAGGCTAGGTCACTAGGGCAGATTAAATCCACTGGCAGCCAGCCACGTGAATACTAGCTGGAAATTGCTCCCCCAATCTAAATGGCTTACCAAATCCTGTGTTAGTTTACATCACGACCCCACAGGTGTCAATTCCAGTTAAATAAAGTGAAAATAAAGTTTGCTTTAGAAAATGGATAGTACTAATATTAGCCTAGAGAGTTTACTTATTTTGTTAGCACAGTTTTAAAATAGGTAGCTTTATGTACCAAACAGGATGACACTATAAATAGCAAAAGACCATTTGCTTTCAGATAGATCTATCTAGTAAAAGTCCATGCTTAACGGGCTTTTATGAACACTCTTCTGATGATGGGTTGTGCATATAACAATGCTGACTAACCCTTTATCATCGCTGTTTTTAAGGTCAAAAACCAAAACAAACCCTTTGCTTTTGTCAATTATTTCCTGTGGGACAAAAAACAAACAACAAAAACACCAAAACCACCCTAAACAATCAATTTCATCAGCATGTGGTTTTTAAAGGTTCCCAAATGCACAAAACTGTCTTATGTAAGGCAAGGATCTGTGACCAACAATGCATGGGAAGTTAGTACTGCCGGCCTAGGACAATTTTAAAGAAAAATGTCAACGAAACCTATAAATAGATGTATACAACCTCCCTTAGTGTTTAGTGTAACTTAACACTAAAGGGATTCATTTGGGGGTGAGAGCAGGGGTTCGGAAACAGAGAGAACCTTTTCAACAACGGTTTTGTAAAGAGGAAGTCTCAATAAGCAATCATGAGAGGTCAAATGGCATTATAGACCTTATTTGAGATAATGAAATAAGCAAACTTAAAACCTTTGTGAAGGTTTCTTTTGCTGATATGTTTTAACGTGGACTACAAAATGGCCTTAAGATGGATTTTTTGAGAAATGAAAAAGCAAAATGTAGTTCTAAAAGTACTATTGCCTTCCTCATCTCTTAACCAATAAAAATTCCTTCATAACAAATATCATTACATTGAAAATCTCTGCATATTAACAGATGTTATATTCCTAAGTACCCACTTAACTTAGAGCATTTGTTTAATAAATAAACTGTTAAAGAACAGGAACAATCCCAGAGGATTTTCTGTAAGAAAACTAACTATTTTTGACTGGAAATCCAGCAGATGGTAAGATGATGGGCTAGTGATGGCTCCTGGTCCTACAGCCAGTGTAGAAGACAAACCTTCGTTAGAGATTCAGGTTGAAATCAGCAAATCTCAAAACATTTTCCACTGTAAATACCTTTTGATTACTTATGACTGAACAAAAATATTATTCCAACATTTGCAGAGCACTCTGTTAAGATGAAACCCTCTACAGGTTACAAGAATAATAAAAATATGACAAAATCTCTGCTCCTTACCAAGCTTACAAATAAACAATATAATTTATAAGCCTCAAATAGTGCTACAAGAATTGAGAGGAAGCAAAGGGGAGAAGAAAAAACAGTCTTCTAAAGACATGATATTTGAGCTGAACCTTGGGGGCTGGGTAGACTTCTGAAAGATGGAAGGAGTCATTCTATCATTCTTGGAAGACAGCAAAGATACAAAGAAAAGGTGGGGTAGCATGAGGCATATTTGGAGAACATCCCACTTGGCAGGAGCCTAATACATAAGTAAGGATAAGGTAAGGACGGGGCAGCATTGAGAAATCACAGAAATATAATTAAGGTCAGGAAAGTATCTAGTCCCACCTCAAATTCAGATGAATTTCTTACACAATTTCCTACCATGCACTGTTCAGTGTCTGCTTGGTTATTCTGACTGATAGGATAGTGACTACCTCCTTGACAGCTCCTTCTCTTTGTATGTAGAAACGGTTACTTGTTCCAGGAGGCATGGGGGAGCCCCTAAATGTCTTATTACAGAGGCAGCGGTGTATAAGATAACTGTACTGAACAATTATTAAACCCCTATTAAGTACCAAGTACTATTCTCAATACTTTAGAACTATTTTTCCATTTACTCTTCCCAACAATTCTATGAGGTTCACTGACGAGAAAACGAGGCACACAGCACCCAAGTAGTCGAAAAAAATATCAAGAAATAACATTCCTGCCCTGGCCAGTTTGGCTCAGTGGTTAGAGAGTCGGCCCACAGACTGAAGGGTTCCGGGTTTGATTCTGGCCAAGGGCATGTACCTCAATTGCAGGTTTGACCCCCAGCTTTGGTAGGGGCTCGTGCGGGAGGCAACCAACCAATTGATGTGTCTCTCTCACATCGATGCTTCTCTCTCTCTTCCACTCTCTCTGAAAAGCAATGGAAAGAATGTCCTCTGGTGAGGATTCAAAATATACCTATGCATGTACGTAACATTCCCTAAAGGCCATTCATTCTGAAGATGCAGGCGGCAGTAACACTCTGACATCCACCCTCTGAATTTTCTTGTTGTCACTCACTGTGGATAACCAACTAGCAATAACTGAACTAGGCAGCGTCACTAAACAGGTATTTTCATTAAAATTAATGTAAAATTTCAGTGTATTTTTCACACTGAATTATCCCACTATTCCAAGTTTTCTATAAACAAGACAATAATATTACCAAATGCTGAAAGATGGATTTGCGGTCACTTGTACATGTGTTGTATCTTCAAGAAGAGGGAGCTCTAGCTGAAAGTAAGGTGCCAAGGCCAGACAAAGCGCTTCCTGTCCCAGCCAGAGCTTTGACACTGACTGCCTCAGCACCGGACCGTTTTCTTTCCACACCCTCCCCTGACAGGGTATTCGCAACCTACAGGGTCTGTGTTCAGATCATGCCAGAGTTTTAAAGGCAACTCTTGATGAACACTATGCCTTTTCTCTTATAATCAACTTTATAAACAGTCTTTAGCAGGTTCCACAAGCAAGTTCTTTGTTAATGCCCAACAGAAATGCCACATAAACATCTGACAGCTATAATGTATCACAAGCTTTCACAAATGCACTTTGCTCTCAGTAAAGCCAGCCACGCCCAGCAGGGTGATGTAAGGCTTACCTGGTTGTTACTGTTGGCAGCTGACGAATTAGCTTGAGCTGTACTTGCTGAGAGGGAATCGAGGAAGGCTTGATCAGCTACTGAATTTCCACAAGAAAATGGATCTTTTCTATCACTGGACAAAATCTGAGTATTAGAAAGAATCATAATTATTTTCATAGATTAGAACTATTTCAGAGTTAGAGTCCCTGAGGGCAAGTAAGAACTGTCATCTATTATGGAAAAGGGGTTTATATTCCTAAAAGGCAAGCAAGCCCAAGAACATTTAACTATTCCTTTTCTGTAAATATGTAGATTCTAGAAAATGCAATTAATTACAGTATGCTACTTAAATCCTCAGATTTTTCTCATTCTTGTCAATTTTTAGAATCCTGAATGCACACTGCACACAGCAAAAGCACAACATAAACTTAAGACACATGGACTGAGCTCAGGAGCCTGTGAACCCTCTGAAACCGTATGGAAAAGGTCGGGGTGAGTGCAAATACATATATTTCTAAGAAGGGCTACAGATTTCATCAGATTCTCCAAAGGGTTCAAAAGCTTCCCGTCCAAGCTCTCTCAATCAGGAACAAGGAAGACAGCCTTCCCATTATATAGGCAGAGCCCAAGTATACATCTATCTGTCCAGGGTATAACTCCTCTCTACTGACACACAGGTCAAATTTCTCAATTTTTAAGCCTTCTCTTTACTCCAGAAAATGATATCATTTGAAAACAAGAAATATTTGTTTTGAGATCCTTTATTCTGGACCTCACTCGGATTTTACTCATAGAGCACCAGGCAACCCTAGTTTCTGTCATCTCAGAGTAGAGGCAAGCACACCATATACACCATTCTTAGTCCTGAGTGACCCACAGACAATCAGCAGGGGGCACCAGGAGGATGGCTCACAAGAGGGTTTGTCAGATGCATGGGTGTGTCCCAGGCAGGGAGCCTCATTCATTCAGGGTGTTGTAACACTATCCTTGGCATCTATCATAACAGAGCTTAAACCAGGCAATGGTTCACAGCAGCTCATTTAAGACCCTTCTGTCTGTGGGCATGGGGGAAGGAACTGAGAGAAATGCCCTAAATTAGCACAGGGAGAAGTTACTTAAAAAGAAATCTATTCACACTTTGTGAATCAATTCTACAAATAAACAGTATTGTAGGCAGCAGCTACTACACAATATAAGCAAATGAAAAAATAGGGACTTATATTCAGAATAATTAAATAATGCTATCTTGGAAAGAACTTAACCTAAATATTTGGAGTCACTCTTTAGAGCTTGGGTCTACAGACAATATTTTTTCTTAGTTCTACATCAATGTATTCTCCACATTTTATGATTAGAATGTATTACTTTGACAATGAAAATTTTTTTTATTAAAAATAAAATTGCTATCTTCCAGTCTGTCCCTTAGGTTGATAATTCATAAAATGATGTGTGACGAAGACAAGGTTTAATTAATAAATGACAGTAAGTTCTTACTTCAACATAGTCTGTGGGAACAAGACCTCGTTCCCCTTTGCTGTTTCTTGCTTCCAGCCATCCTCCACCAACATCCTGAGAAAGTTTAAGAAAAATAAAATAATAAAAAAAGGCTTTAGTTGGAACTTCCTATAAAAATTTTGCTTTGGGAGTTGTTATACATGTGATACACAGGTCAAATTTTTCAATTTTTAAGCCTTCTCTTTACTCCAGAAAATGATACCATCTGAAAACAAGAAATATCAAACTTCAACAATAAGTGATCAAAGATTTTAAAATAGCCCATTAACAGAATGTCATCATTTTGTGATTCCTTCCTAGTTATTGGTCTTTGGTAGATCACAAAAATGATCTGCAGCTCCTACTGCCAAGAAGCAGCATGCACTCCCCCACCTCTAGAAGCTGCGCTGTACTGTGTGACCTCTTTGGCCAACACAGTGAGGTGGAAATGGTGGGGTGAGCTCAGAGCCTGGCCTCAGGAGGCTTTGCACATTTCAGGCTGCTTTCCCCCGCAAAGAGCTACTATGTGAGTACATCTGGGTTGCTAGATGATGACAAAGTCAAGGCCCAATCTGCCTGTTGCCTCATCCAAAGCCAGCCAACCCCCAGCAGGACCACTGCCAGTCATGTGAGGGAAGGAGGGAGGCAATGTTACCCAGGGGCCCCAAGCCTGGTGCCAGGTGACTGTAGGCTCATGAGTGAGCCCAGGTCAGTAGAACCATCCAGCTGACTTGTAGATCCCTGAGCAACAACAAATGGTTGTTTGTTTTAGCCACTAAGCTTTGGGATTGCCTATTATTTAGGAAAAGCTAACTAACTGATCCCTTGGTTCCTTAGCTCTTCTGAATAAGTAATATTAATAAACTAAATAATAAAGTATTCTATACCAGGATTCCTATTTTTCAACCTATTATCTCAGCAAAGTCCCACTTCCTCCCTTAAAACAGTAAGAGTTGTCTTAAGTTCATAAATTGTGCCCTAATTAGCTAATAATTACCTGAACCTAGATAGAACATTCTTTTAAAAAAATCACTTTGTCCATTTTTGACAACAGCAATTTAAAGACAATACTATTTTTCCAAGAAATGAAGAATAATTCTTCATTTTAAAAAATTAGATAGGTAAATAAAAGAATCTAAATTTCTTCTATGATTAAAATAGAACCCATTAACTTATATATCACCTAGTGTATTTTATAAAACTACATATACTTTTCTAGCCAATAATTCATTTTTGCATCTAAGACATATAAAGTAAGTTTTTAAATACTATCACTATTAAGAAACCACCATCCCCTCGTCATCCCTTGTTCTCCTTCCCTGCTCTCTGTGCTGCAGCTCTCCTCCTGTCTCCTGTGGAACACACCTGCATCTTCTTCCTTTCCCAGAGTCCCCTCAGCCTTCCTGGCACCTTCCTCATGTGCTTCCTGTCAAAGATGCCTGGGAGCCAGCCCCTCTCCAGCCCTCATCTCCAGCTCTGCATTTCCATTTTTAAACTGATGCAAAGCTACAGTCCAGGGCTCATTATTTTCTATTCTTTAAACTCAACATATCTGAAAGTAAGCTCATTTAGTCTTTCTTCCTGACTTACAGGCATTAATAAGTCCACCATGGTCTCAGGCGTAAAGGAAAAAACCTCAGGGATCTTTGACTCTTTTCTCACCAACAGTATCTAATCAGGTACCAAGTCAGTCCTCTGGGTCTGAGAAGCCTCCTATATCCATCTTCTTCTAACTCCTATTGCTATGACCCAAAGTCATGTCCCTAGACTCCAATTCATTCAATACACCTCTACTAGATTAATTTCCTGGAAGTGCAGGTCTCTTCATGTCACCCCCCTACACTACCACCAACCACAAAAACCAAGCAAAATCCTTAAATGAATCCACTACTTAACAAATGAAGTCCAAAGTCTGTATGGTTTGGCGCACAAGTTCTGTCTGATTTGGCTCTAAGAGCCAGTTTTCTTAGCCTGTCTCTTACTGGTCTGTACATACCCTGTACTCCTGGGACACTGGTTTACATGTAGTGTTTGTTCCGCAGCAGAGAAGTAAAAGCAGAGGCTCAGAGGCCAAACAGATGTGGCTTTGAATCCTTGTTTTGCCACTTAAAAGTAGAATGACCTTGGACAAGTTACTTAACTTCTCTAAGTCTCATTACTCTCATTTGTAAAAAGAGATGAAAAATACCGACTTCACAGAGTTCATGGGGAAAATACATTAAAGAAAACATGCATAGCACTTAGCCAAATACCTGGCTCATGGGCTGTCAATAATAGTTGATAATGTGGTAGCTGAGACTTCTAAGGAGCACTGAATACTTTCTAATGTCTGCACCTTTGATCTGGCTGGGATGTCTCTCTTTCCATTTCTATCTGACGGAACCCCACCCAGCTATCTTTAGGGGACTTTTCTCAATGTTTATAAATTATTCTTACTTCACCATCAATACTTCGTAAGCAATAGGAACAAAAATGTGGGTTTGAATGATCAACTTATTAAAAAATAAAAATATTAAAAATAAGTCCTCAAGGGACAATCCGATTTAAATGCAATCACTGTAGTTTTCTTACCGGATTTGTAATTGTGATGATTTCTCCTTCATTAACTGTCAGTTCATTATTTCCAGGTTCAGCAGCAAAATCATACATAACCCGAGCCTGTTGGGAGTGGAAAGGAAAAGAAGTTACAAATGTAAACTTAGTAAAAAAAGAACCACCTTCGACCTCACTCTACCATGCTGGTACGAACAGGTACAAGAGCGGCTGTGGCTGTTTTGGAAGAAAGGAGACCTATCACCAAAGTGATTCCCCAGCCTCGTCAGGGGAAGAACCACAAACCGCAGTGGGAGTCCCTGTGCTGTTTTGGAAACGGGGGGTTCTGGTAGCTGCCTGCACTGCACTCAGAGATTGCCCCCCAAAGTCCTCAAAATATACCCATTTTATCAAGGGGAAAAAAGGTGTGCCCCTGCTTTCCAGGAGCTAGGAAGTGGAAACACAGACACTGCTCATTCTGGGAGCACTCTCTCTCAGGGACCAGAGCTGTACTGAGAGATATACAAATAGGTACACATGTGTAAGAGTCTTTCCTCTTTAGGTTATTCCTTTGTCATTAAAGCTCTCACTATTCTTTATCTAGAGCCACTGGGATGGACTCTGATAATGCATTATCCCTAGCCAAGTAAACTCAGAATGCAGGACTTACTTATACTCTTCTACCCACTGTACAATGATTTATAGGGCTGTGGAGACTGGCCCGGCAACGTGAACAGGTGTAACTTTCAAACTTTTTCTGGCAATGAAATCTTAATTTCACAGAAAACAGACTAAAGGGAAGCCATTCTGGGTGATGTGAGGTTACTCCTCCAGTCCCTTCCTTAAGAGGGTCCTTGAGGCACCAACCCAGAAATGTGGATTCCTTGGAATACTGCCTCACATGTATTCCAAGAGAGAATCACTGTTGTAAAAAATGTATTTTATACGTAATTTTATGATATATAATAAATATATCTTGCTTAACCATTTCAAAGTCTATATAAATGTCTTTCATGGGCTATCTTGCAGAAGGAAATCCATCTAATAAATTAAGGCTCACACGTACCTAGAAACATAGCTTATTTTTAAAGTAACTATTTTTCCTAAGAGGCAAACTAAAGTTGACCTCCAGGGCTAGTCAAATAGGATGGCTGGAGTTCACTGACCTAACAAATACCTTTTTACTGAATACCTACCATATGGGAAGAACTGTGCGAGGCCTGTGCATTCGCCAGTGCACTTTCTCACACTTGCTTAATGATGCCTGAAATCCTTATTACAAGGATTAAAAATTCACAGCCAGTAATAAAAGGGAAAAAAACCCCAAATACTTATTTTGAAATACATAAAAAATAATAAGATGGACTGATGGGTGAATATGTGATAAAGCAGGTATAGTAAGTGCTGTTTATAGAATATAAATGGTGGGTTTATGGTGTTCAATGAAAAATTATTTCGACTTTCCTACGTGTTTAAGAGTTTTCATAATAAAATGTTAGGAAGAAGCAAACAGTAGTGTACAGTCTGTCAGTGAAGAAGTGATATCTGGTCCCTTACTTCCATCTTTACAGAGAGGTTGGAAGGGGGGATGGAAAGAAGACTGTAGGCAGAGAATTCTGGAAGCATTGGTTTTCATTAGGTCATTACAAGGACAAAACTGCTGAGGGATTTTTCTCATACAGCTGTAAAAGTAGATAGAATTCTGCTTGTCATGTTGTGGAATATTTTTTAAGAACATGTCATATCACCTTCAATCCCTTGTGCAAAGAGGGCAGACATGAGATAAATGCATGAGGCAGGTGAGGCTGGTCCTCCACTGTGAGGAGGGTCCCTGAACCAGGACACACCCCACAGGACAGCAAGCTTCCTGGGGAGGGGTCTGGTGTGCTGACAAGAGCCAGATATTTTCCTACTGTTCCTTAAGAATCACAGTTAACAATTTTTTTTAATCCAGTTAACTTCGACTAATCCCCAAATACAGAATACCAAAGCATCTTGTTTACCTTTACAACTTGGTGAAACAGAATGTCAAAATGAAAACAAAAAATGGAAACTCTTACACATTTAAATGTAACTAAACATTTACCCACGAAAAAATGTATATAAACACTGTAGGTTTATTTAAAAAACTGATCTAAGACTTTTTTAAACCTAGAGATGTTCCTTAAAAATTAGAAATGCGAATAATTTGGAAAACAAAAAGATTTAAAGAGCACGTCTCCAAATGAGCATATCAACAGAAAAAATAATTTACCATTCAGTCTAGAGGAGCAATTATTCTTTTTTTCTTTATTTCTAAAGAACTTTAAATTTTATTTTTTGATTACAATTTACATATATTATTCTGTATTAGTTTCAGGCGTACGGCACAGCAGTTAGACAATCACATATTTTACAAAGTGTCCCCCCCGATATTTTAAGTACCCACCTGCCCCACACACAGTACATCATTTGTGGCTCTGCTCCCCGTGCTGTACTTCATTCACACCCTGTGACTATTCCGTAACTACCAAACTGCTTCTCAATCCCTTCCCCGTTCTCACTCAGCCCCCCAAACCCCTTCCACTCTGGCAACCACCAGTTTGCTCTGTCCATGGGTCTGTTTCCATTTTGTTTGTTTATTTTGGAGGAGCAATTATTCTTACAAAGCTTAAGTAAGACTGGAAGCCTTCAGCTCTGGACAGCTCTGGACACTTTCTCCCAGTGCCTACTTCTCCTCTTTCCTGTCCTTACATTTGGCTTCCACCTGCCTCCTTCTGTCTTCCCTATCATCCCCTTTTTCCTCTTACTCACTACGAGCACTATCCAAACCTAAAGACACTGACCTGGACCCCACCTGCCAATCTCCCTATTTTTGATGTGGCCTTTGAAATAGAAGTTGTTTTTCTACATTTATTTTCCAAAAATGAATAATAGAGAATTCATCAATTCAAAATAGAAACACACACACACACACACACACAAAAAAAACAGAAACAAAAAAACGGGCAGCAAAAAAGTTCACCTAGAAGGTTAGAATACGGAAGACACACTCCCACTCTTAAGCATCTATTTCTTTGGTTTCATATAAATCACAATTAAATTTTGGGAAAAGGCAGTAAATCTTCAGCAATGTAGCTCTCCCATCTTTTAAATAGAGACACTCAATTAAAAAGTGAATAAAATATATAAACTTTCAGAAATCTAAAGGACTGAAGAATTCCTTATTGACACCCATGAAACTGAAGTTTATGGTGCAAGTAATAATTCTATATAACTAGTTTACCTTTTTAAATGGCAAGTTTGTTTTACTTAAGCACACTCATTTACTTTTTATAAAATCTTATATATTTAATGCCTTCCTATTTCTCATCTTTACCTAACCATCAAGATCATCAGAAGAAACAGAGCTTATTCTAACAGACCCCAACAGCATTACTGTTTGTCATTAATGTATGTAGATGTACTGTCCCTACTGTAAGTGGTTAAGGCTTAAGTGCTTTTCTTTTTTTAATTTATCTTTATTGTTGAAAGTATTACAGATGTCCCTCCTTTCCCCCCCATTGATCCCCTCCACCCTGCACTCACCCCCCTCCCCAGCCTTCACACTACTGTCTGTGTCCATGGGTTATGCATATATGCATATAAATTCTCTGGTTAATCTCTCCCCACCCACCCCCGCCATATTAATCTGTGATTTCAATCGATTTTGTTAAATCCTGGCTTGTGCTGGGGTTCAGTTCTTGTTTTGAATCAAATATAGAATCTTAAATATCTCTAAGATTTCATCTTGTTAGATTCAGCCCACTGCTCCTACCTACTAAGTTTTCTGAGTTCTGTAGCCACTGTCCAACTATTCCTTATCCTTTCCTGCTAAGTCATCAGAAAGCCTGGTAAGCATGCTTTCCATAGTTTCACCTGCTTCATTAGTTAACTGTTAAAATATGGTAGCCCAGGGTCGAAGAGAGCTGCAAGAGATAAGAAACTCTTTCCAAGGGCACATGGGTTAATTTGTTATCATGTTTTGGATATGGTGCTCTAAAAATTTCCAAAGAAAATAAAGTTAATCTATTTCCTTAAATGTTCACAAGCAATGAGTTTAATAATCTATTCAAGAATCTATTCTAGCCCTGGCTGGTGTGGGTTGTTGGGAGTGTGGTCTCATACACCAAAAGGTGGCAGGTTCAATTCCCAGTGAGGGCACGCACGTACCTAGGCTGCGGGTTTGATCCCCCGCTGGGGCGCATAGGGGAGGCAACTGATTGATGTCTCTCTCACATTGATGTTTCTCTCCTTCCTTCCCCCCCAACCTCCCCTCCTTGTAAAAATCAATAAAAACATATCCTTAGGTGAGGATTAAAAAAAATTAAAAAAAAAAAGATTGGAAGGCAAACAGGATCTGTATAAAAGGCTACATATTCTTGCAGCTCTCATTCTGAGTACTGTGGTTCTCACTGTTCATAAACATATACTTAAAAATTTTTACAGCAATGACAAGAGCAATATAATGAAGTTAGAATGGAAAAGTAAAGAAATGTTCCTCTTCTGACAAAGGATATAAGTGCTAACAGACTTGCAAGTACCCTTCAAAACGTTATGCATTTGACACGTGTTTGCACATAAACACACAACCACTTAGAACCATGGTACATATGATGTTCTCTTCTACAGGTCATGCTTCACTTGCTCTTAGGTCTGTCTCTTCAAATCAGTATATTCACCTTGTTCTCTATCACGTCGCCAAGGTTACTACTCAACTTCCAGGCTAAGCACACGAAAACCTACCCCGCTGTGGTTAAGAAAATAACCTCATCCCCACCCCAAATTAAAATAGCTTTATTGTTTTCCTGACTGTAAGATGTGCATTGTAAAAAAAAAAATAAATACAAACGCACACATACACATACACTTGCTTTTCAAACCCGAGACCGTTGGTGGAGAACTTAAATATACCCCCTGTAACAGTATCTGAGTTGCCACCTCCCAGGCCCCAGTATTGTGTACTGACAATGCTTTTCATTTCTCCTACAACAGGGGAGGAAATGTAATTATTATGGGCAACATCGCAATTAAGCTGGCTTTGAAACCAGACCATGCAGGTTCAACTAGGCCAAATTCCTTAAAGCTTAAAGTCTCTGTCTGAAATT